TGGAGCTTTCAATCTGTTCAGATGTGGTTGACGCTTGAATGCGTTCCGCTGTTGTTACTCCAGTTGCTGTGGCAGTGATGGGCTCCTTAGTTCCAGTTCCAGACGATGATGATAGGGGTGTTGATGAAGTGATACCTTCTGATACCACCGTTCCATCGTCTTCTATGGTAGAGATTGAAGAGTAGACTTCTGTCGTTGTCTCAGTTCCTTCAGTTGATGTTGCTTCTCCATGCGTTATCGATTCCGTTGTCGAAAGAATTTCTTCAGAGGTGGTGGCAGTGTTTGACGTTCGCTCATATCCAACATCAGCAGTCTCAGTGGTCGTCGATATCTCCACTCTCCCACCAGCATTTGTGGTTGAAGCTTCAGCTGGAAACAAAAGAACATGCAACTTTCAACTTGCATTACTGAGCATTCATATTGCCTTGATCACAATTTGGAACTTCGCAATAACTCTAATATAACTAACAACAGACCATTCAAACAATTCGATCTTTCAGATTAAATTGAATGAAATTATAACTAACGTTCACAAGAAGTAATACCATCACCACCATAACCAACGATACATTTACATGTTCCGTCCAGCTGACAACTCGCCTTCTTATGGCACATTTCAGCATCCAAATGACAGTTTGGTCCTGTAATTTTCCCCATCAATGAGATGTGCACAAAAAGTATTCTTTGGGAGAATCGCCATTTATGTCCTCCCAATGGATAGCAGTTGAAACAAAAATAATGCATTCTCGAACTTAGAATGCCCATAATGAGGCATATAGAACTAAGGAACAATCATGCAACATAGGAATGTGCATTTGCTTGAGGCCGCTTACATAGACCATATAATTCTCATCACAATTGTCTTACATCATATAAAATTATGTGATCTCGATTCATATATAATGTAGATAGTGCGAGATATCGTTTTCTGAAGTTTTTGAATGCTTTACCTCCTTTAGCATTTTTTGTACGAACACACTTGAAACCGTTTCCAGAATAACCCGGCTGACAGATACATCTGAATGAGCCGTTAGTGTTGTGACAGTCGGCTGCTGCATCACATACACCAGGCAATGAACATTCATCCACATCTAGTAGCAACAGGAGGTACATATATGTACTGATAACATGCAGATATGTGCATAGCCATTGGAAGGTTCAACTGATCAAATAAACACATGCATGGGATGATCATAGTGGGAGTAGTATACTCAAATTTTGTGCGCTGATTCAGAAACTCATAAGTACTTGTGACAAGAAAACAAGATCTGAATAAAGTCAAATGTTAATGAAGCAAGCAAACAAAGGATTCGGAGTTTGATAATGAAGATTACGAACAAAATATACATTAAAATAGAATGTATCAGGGTAGATATTATTTATTAAAAAAATTATTTATAAAATTGAGTGAAATAAAGAGTTGTGCAGAAAAGCGATAATTGACTGCTAATTTACCATCACAATGCTTTCCATCGCCAATATAACCCGGCTTACACGTGCAGAAATGTCTTCCTGGATGAACATCAACACATTCGGCATTTGGATCACAATCATTCTTCACCGGATCTGCACAATTTCCAAGTCCGTTGATTGCTAAAATCAACTGATCATACTTTTCACGAATAGATTCAATTTAAAACCGTAGCCGTGACGGAATCGCAGTGACAACATTCTTAGACAACAACAATAACAGTTGTGTTACTCACGCAGACATTGACCTCCAACAGGTTGGTGTCCACTGAGACATGATCCACACTGGGGAACATCCTCATCATCAATATGACATGTTTTGTTCTCGGCACGACACATCTCAATCCACTTGCTTGTACATGCACTTTGAGTAGATGCTGCATCCGAGGAAATTGCTGAAGAATTTACGATGAACACTTGAAAGGTGATTATCAAAGAGATAGATCATCTTTCAAAATGACCGATAGAAATAAACTAACGTATGCAATCGATTCCATCGCCTGTATAGCCCGAGGCACACTTACAGCCAACACTTCCAATATGATTGGCACATTTTGCGGCAATATTACAACCGGCCAAGCCTCGACTGCACTCATTCACATCTGAAAATACAAATGAAGCTCTCAATTCNCAAAAATATTTTCTGAGAGCAACGAATATCGATAAGACACACCAACACAAATACCGCCAACGCCCTCATATCCGTCGGCACATTCACAACGATATCCGCCATCAGTATTGATACAGATCGATGTTGATGGATCACATGAATGCCGATTCTCCTCGCATTCATCGATATCTGCGAACATACTATTCTATGTTAGTCATTAATTTTCGAATAAATCCCGCTATTTTTTCCATTTTCATGATCAAAGGCCAATCAATAACTCGCTCATATTGTTGGAGAAGATATTAAGCTCACCTTCACACTGTCCAGTTTGATTATTGTATCGATAGTTAGCATCACATTCACACACCGAAACCAATTCGTCAAGTCTCACTGACATGCATGCCGTATGTTCTGTCCGTTTACAAACTGCTTTCTTATCCTTAATCACCGATTTCCATTCAATTCCGAATTGATCGAAATTTACAGATTATTTCAGTACAATTTATTCATCAATTCAATTCATATTCGTAGCTCCTTCCTAATGATAGATCAGTGAAGAATGCAATATGCCATGACTCTTAACTTGTTATGGACCTTTCATCCGAATTTCCTTGAAGCAAGAATTCAGTCTGATGAAAAAAAAAGAACTAACAAGGCATGATTTATCGTTTGGATTGATGCATTCATCAATTCCATCACCGTCCCAACCATTCGGGCACTTGCAAGTGAATGAGCCTGGGAAATTGATACACGTAGCTTGAGGGTGACATGGATTACGTTGACATTCATCGATATCTGCAAACGAATGAAACATTATCTACAATTGGAATGCAACTAATGCTCTAATGATCTTCTTTTATGTTCATTAGTGTGCGAGATATACTTAACAACTTTGATTTCAACTGAGACATTTGACTGAATTATTTGTGCACATGACTTTCATCACTTTTAACTAACCTTCGGAAGAAAGTCATATCTATCCGTTCATAAGAATGAAACTAAAGAGCAATACTCACCGACACAATGGAATCCATCTCCTTTGAATCCAGGTTGGCATTCACAAATGAACGATCCAGCGATGTTCTTGCATATTGCGTCTGCATGACAAACATTCGTATCCGGATTTGCACATTCGTCAATATCTGAATCGCGCACATTCGTAAGCAACTTCTAATGCAGTTTAAAACAGCAATATTCAGATTTCGAAACATTGGGAGGCGTTTTCTATGTATAGATATATTGCATCTGCATGACAAACATTCGTATTCGGATTTGCGCCTTTTCTATGTATACAAAACGCCTCTTAACGTTTTCTATACCTAGAGGCGTTTTTTTCTATGTATAAGCCATAACGAAGATATTAGTTGGATTCAACTAATCGCACACATATTTCGCAAAAATAGATATCGCAACCGCTACTCTATCAGTTCACATACCACTGCATAACAAATAATCAGAAATTAACTTACCAGTGCATTGGCCTTTATGCAAGATGAAACCATTCTTACAGCTATCACAATCTCCATTCCCTCGCCCATCAACCAAACAAAGATGATTTGGACCACAGTCCATTTTTTGCCATTCATCAATCGTACAGTGGCGTTTCTCAATTGGAATGCAGGTGTACCCATCACCTTAACAAACCGAACATTTGTTTGCTTTGCAAAACCTTACTGAATGATTTCTTAAANTATATTCAATTTATATGGACAATAAGGATCAACAAAACAATGTGTCCAATAGTAGCAGTAAATTGAAGTAAACGAAAGGTTAATGAAATACCGGTATATCCAGGTATACAATGACATGCGTATGATCCAGGCAGGTTGATGCAGGTAGCCTTTGGATGGCAAAAACTGCTGGAATGTTCAAAACATTCGTTGATATCAATACATACTCCATCATCATTCTTTCGGTAACCAGCCTCACAAAAGCATGAATATCCACCAACGTAGTTCGAGCATCTCGCAGATGAATGACAATCATCCAGATTACGTTCGCATTCATCAACATCTTCAAATTGTTCACTTCGTTTTATATGAAGCATGAAAGTTAGTGAGCAAACTTATAAAAATATGATTGCAGTAAATCGTACCGATACAAGCATTGCGCGGTGGTTCACCAGTGAATCCAGGAAAGCATCTGCACGCTCCGGAACGACGTTCACAATAGGCATCTTGTCCACACTGGTCATTACTGAGACAACGTGAGGTCTTCAATGAGCGATTGGTTGGTGCTTCTTCAGTGGTCATCTTAAGACTGAACGTATCCTTTGTAGTCATCCATTCTTCTGGTAATTCAGCAGTCTTTGGTGGAACAGTGTCCTGTAATTATGTTCCTCATTTACCGATTCACAATGGAATTGAAGGAATTAAATAATTGAAAATTCGAGATATTTCATTAATCTTGAGTAACGACTCAAAAATGTCAAGTTTAAGACGTACTTGAGCAGTTGTCCTGAGCATAATTTCGTCCGAACTCGTTGTCACTTCCACGGTTGGTTCACTTTCCAATTTTGTTGTCGCCTCAGTAGACATTGCAGTGGTCAATTCTGCTTCAGAAGGATGAGCCATAGAAAATGTAGTTTCTTCATGCTCCTCAGAAGTGGATATCAACTGTAGAGTTGTCGGAGACGGTTCGGTCGAGCTTATCGCAGCAACAATCGATGCAGCTTCCTTAGTCACTTCGGATGCCGTACTTCCAGATACTTCAGTTGTTGAATATTGCTCATCCTCATCGGTTTCTTTCTCAGTAGATTCTGTGGAGACTGAGACAGAATGCAACGTAGTGGAATATGCAACGGTACTTTTCATTGTTGACGATTCCTGAGGAGGAACGTTTCCGTATGATAATGATTCTTCTCTAGGAACACTTTCTCCCTCTTCGCCCGACTCTATTCGGACCAGTGGCGTTGTACTTTTTCCGGCAATTTTCTCCCTTGGCTCACCCTCCTCCGTCGTTTGAGCTGTTGAAGAGGCTTGTTCGCCTTCTGAAACACCCGGAAATTCATAGCCTGATGGTTGGGCTACTTCTTCAGGAATGACGATGCTGGAAGATTCTGGAGGTTGTGTTGACTGACTTGTTTCGCGAGATGTGATCGATTCGGTAGATGCCAAATGCTCAACGATCGGTGGTGTTTCAAGATCGTTCTCAGTAGTTTGTGTAGACTGCTCTTGAGTAGAAATCCCTTCATGTTTGGATTCTCCTTCCTCAACTATACGCTCTTCAAAAGTTGTGGGTTGTTCAGTTGAGACCGACTGTTCAGTTGATTTTTCCGTAGTCATAAATTGCTGGCTCATGGTGGAAGCTTCAGTAGAACTTCCAACGGTCGTAACCGTTTGTTCGGAAGTGCTAGCTGAAAATGAAGAAGATTGTGCAGATTTCGCTGTAGAGGTTGACGTACTCCACTGCCTGTTTTCGCTCGTTCCAGTTGTCTGATACGAAGACAGCTCTTCACTTCCAAAACTCGTCGTTCCCAACGATGAACCTTCGGTAGATGTTTCCCGTTCAGTAGATGTCTCCGTTTTGGCATCCTCTGCAGTAATTATAGATTCTGAGGTGGTTACTGACGGGATCTCCTTAACTGTGCTCGTGGTAGAAGATTCACTTAGTTCGGTTGTTTCACTGCTTGCTGGTTCTTCGTAACCCCTGGTTGACGTTTCTTTTGGGGTTGGTTCAGAAGTCTCCCATGACATGATTTCTTGTGAGGGTGTCGTTCGGTCAATTTTAGGTTCTCCAGTCACTTCCGCTTCAGGCGCTGTACTCTCAAATGTTGTTTGTAAGGACTCTGAAGTTGTTGAGCTAATGCCTTCAAAGGTTTCAACTTTTTCAGTCAAGCCAGCACTTGTAGAAGATGTCTCAGGAACGAATGTTTCCGTTGTCTCCTCTTCTTTCGATTTTCTAGTTTCTTTATCTTCATTCTCAACGGTAGATGTTGCAGATTCTACAGTACTAGTAGACTGTGCTGTTCCTACACTCTCAGTAGGACGAGAAGCGCTTGCTCCTGCATTCAGTGTATGATCAGCTTTCACATTATTAGTGGATATCTCAGTTACACCGCTAACCTCTTCATCAGTAATTGTCTCCATCGAAGTTGATGTGAATTTACCAGAGTGATCTTCAGCACTTGCTTCTTCTTTTGAATTTACATCTGTAGCATTCGTAGATTCTTTAAATATGTGTATAGCTCCTCCACCACCTTCTTTGGTTTCGTTGATTCCAACAATCGCAGGCACCGTTTTTGCTATGAAGCCATTTGATGCAGTTACTGCGCCTTCAGTTTCTGCTTCACTCTCAGTCGTCTCAGAACTGGGTGCTCTTGTTGAAAGATACGACGTTGTTGTTGCAGATGAAGTACTTGTTTCAACAGTTTTCTCCATTTGTTTCGATTCTACACCAAGCTCCTCTTTAGGCTCCGTGTAGCTCGCTGATATTGTTGGTGCTGTCTCTAGTGATGTTCCTTTCGTTGTCTCTCGTTTTTCAGCAAGTGTCGATAAAGTTGTTTCTAGAGTGGATGTTTCTTCCCCAGAACCCTCTTCATTTACTACATCAGGATGCTCAATTTCTCCAGTTTCCCTTAGCAGAGGTACTGTCGTTGAAGTACCTTCAGTTATTGTGGATGGACTGGTCCAGATTATCTCAAGACCAGTTTCTCCAATTCGTTCAGATTCGGAAACACTAGAAAGTTCGAATGATTGAGTCGTAGACTCTTTTTCGGATTCTTCAACGATGCCACTACTATCTGGAACATATTTCGGTGCGTTATTTCGCAAATCATCAGGTATCTTTGTTTTGATCAAAGTTTCGTTGGAAGGCCCACTGGTGAGAGTCACCGGTTCAACGGTCGTTACTGGAGATCCTGTTGTTCCAGCAGCAGGTGTGCTTTCCGACGACTCAACAACTTTTACTGGATGCCTACGACTATCCGGAGCCTCCTCCTCGATCTTTTTCCCTTGATCACCAGAATGGTACACATGCGACAAGGTTGTAGAAGTATTTTCAGTTATCTCCATCTCTTCAGTCGTGGTTTCTTTAGAAGCTACTGTTGTGACTGATATGGACTCTTTTTGAGCAGCTGCCGCCGAAGATTCAGTAGCTGCGGATTCATTTTCCGTTTCCGTTGTTGCTTGAGCCTCGGATTCTTTTTCTGCCTCTGTTGTTGCTTGAGCCTCGGATTCTTTTTCTGCCTCTGTTGTTGCTTGAGCCTCAGATTCTTTTTCTGCCTCTGTTGTTGCTTGAGCCTCGGATTCTTTTTCTGCCTCTGTTGTTGCTTGAGCCTCGGATTCTTTTTCTGCCTCTGTTGTTGCTTGGATGAGAACTTTTTTTACTTTTATTACTAGTGAAAAGTTTTCTATTTATAT